TCCCAATTACCTATGGTACATTCTTATGAAATCCTAGTTTTCCAAGTAAGGATATCCCATAGATCAGAAGGTATAAATCACCATAGAATCCTCACTAACTAGACAGCAGTACACAGCACAGCATCCATGACTTTAGCAGAAGTGAAGAATGGAAAAATGCATGCCAGAAGGGTTTTATAACAAGATGCAGTGCACCAGACAGGGTATGTCCACATCTGGACAAAACCACTCACGGAAGACTTTGCCTAGTTGTCTCATAAGCAATGAGGTTGAAAGAATGCCTGAAACCAATAAGCAAATCTCATGTTATGCTTTAAAGCCTTTCAGAAATCTCTTTTATATCTCCTCCGCCATAAACACTTAAAATGCAACTGCAGAGGGTTTATTCCTTCAACCCAGGATGGTGCTTGATACCACAGCTGGAGGCTAGGCATGGAGGCTAAACAACTCCAGTACAAGCACAGTAATCTTTGTGTGCTCCTGTAGCTAGTAGTGGCAAATACTGCAGGTCAAGTTTCTGCCTGTTCTACAGTATGAAAACTTAGGGGACCTTCAGCATCAGATCCTTCTATGAAATACCGTGTTTCCCCGAAAATAAGACAGGGTCTTATATTAATTTTTGCTCCAAAAACACATTAGGGCTTATTTTCAGGGGATGTTTCATTTTTTTTTTAATGTACAACAATCTACATTTATTCAAATAGAGTCATATCATCTTCTGGCTACTGCACAATGGTAGAGGGTGGGGTTTCACTTAACTGGGGCTTATTTTTGGGGTATGGCTTATATTACGAGCATCCTGAAAAATCATACTAGGGCTTATTTTCAGGTTAGGTCTTATTTTCAGGAAACACACAGTCACTTTCTGTTTCCATATATGATGACAGCCAAACCTATCTTTGACTAGCTTCAGAGGTCTAAGGTAGTGTGGGAATTACAACCCATAAACATACATCTCCAGCTACCTTCCTTTCATCCACCTGGAAAAAAGCAGAAGCCTCTTCTAGGCCTTATTTCCTGCTGCAATGATTCCTGGTTATATTTTATATACGGAAGGTGCCTCCTGCAGAGCCACCATCCCGAAAAATACTGCAGCAGCTTCCTCCCAGGAAGCATTGGGACAGGAAATAAGACCTAGAAGCTATCTTAGACATTCTCAAGTGAGTGAAATGAATGCTTCTACAGGTGTGTGTATGTAGACTAGACTTCTCAAAATACTAGGGAGTTTTGGTGAATTCCGGGATCTGGAGTCCACAAAGAACAACAACAACAACAAATGGCACATCCCTAGTTCAGCTAATTGCCTCATTAGAACACAGAAAGCTGTGATGCGCGTGATCATACACTATCCTTGCATTGTCTACTCTCCATGTGTTTTGGATTTCTACTGCCAACACCACTAGCCAGAATGGTCAATAGTCAGGGACTGTGAGAGTTTAAGCCTAAAACATCTCTACAGTCAAAGCCTAAGAACCACTGATCTAATGGACTAATTTAAAAAATGAACTACTTTAATACCTTTACTAGGCAGCCGCCTTGAGTCCCTTTAAGGAGATAGTAAAAATATTTTCAATCAATCAATCAATCAAGGCAACTACAACGGGTGCAAAAGGACAAAAAAGTACAAAAGAGCTAATGTATTTCTTTTGGTTTTGTAAACTTTTTTGGCCTAATAAAGGTTTTACCCTACCATAGATTTTGGAATTTGTTTTGAGCCAATATAGCTATGTTTTGCTGTGAATCACAATAGCCAGAATTCTACTGCACAGTGTGGCAACTGCACAAGATGTAGGGGACTGTGTGTCTGTTGCATACCCCATAGTCCTCTAATTGTACAACAGAGTGTGCAACCAGTTGCCAGTCAGAAGGCATGTATCCGTCCTTAACACAGCGGGGAGCCATTCTGCACAGCAGGCAGCCATTCTGAAACCCGACAATCAGCTGTTTTTAAATCATCGTAATGCAAAGAATCGGTTCCCGAAGCAGGGAACTGATCGTCGTGAAGCGAATTTTCCCCATAGGAACATTGTTTTGCGATTGCAATAGTGATTGCAAAAAAACCATCATAAAGCAGATTAATTGTTTAACGAGGTAATCGTTAAGCGAGGCACCACTGTATTTTGCAACAGGATTACTCCCCATGGCCCTAGAAAGAGGTATTCTGCACAGCACCTCCCGTCTTAATTCTTTTAAATTTAGATAACAGAGACTGGCCCTGGGACATTCTGTATGCAAAGCTTGCACTCTTTTGCTGAGTTCTATTGTTCCTTCCTGCACAGCTCTGCTTCAATCCCCCTGCATTTCCCTAGAAAAGTTGCAGAGAATCATTACAGAGAAAGCACCCACATGCATCCCCTCATGAAACAGAGAGAGAGAGACAGAGAGAGAAATTAACGTTGTAAGTTGCCTTGTTATATTAAGCACTATACAATTCAAGCAAGCACATTAAACAGAATTGACAGAATTACATCTTATTCCAAAACACTCAGGCTATTAGTAGAAACAGTATAGCAAAACAAACAAACAAACAAAACAAAATACAAAAACCCACATTATACAGCACAAAAACAACTAGCTCACAAGCTAAAAGAAAACAACAACTCCCTGCTAGAGACTGGATCCTAGCAGGCTGGCAGTCCTAAGACAGAACACCATCAGCTGGGCAGAAGATGTGGAAATTATCCTTCCACAAACCCTTATTGGTCCCCCAGGAAGGGAAATGAACATAAGCCACAGTTATATCCTATCGGGGAAGAGATATTTCTTATCAAGCATATTAAAGTAGTGACGTAAAGTGTTTAACTCCCTTTCCCACAGTAAAATGCTTCCAAGTCCTCCATTCCACAGGTTTTGTTTTGACTTGGTTCACACATATTCAAGAAGGGTTAAGAATTAGAAGATTTCATGATGGTGTTCTAGAGAGTATTCTTGTTGCCCTTTATGCTTTACAGGGGGGCAATGCCACCTTGCCTAATTTGAACATCTGATGCTCCCCAATCTAGTCCAAAAAACATAGGGCACCACTAACTAGAACACTCTGCAATTAAGTACTTGTCTTCGTAGCATAAAAATACATTACATTTCAAAATACTGTGACAGCCAGGTCCTCATGCAAGTAGCTTGAAACGCCAAATAACTTGTAGACATCTCATTTGATTCTGAAACAAAGACAGATCTGGCCTACCGAAATATGATTAAACTATGGATCCCCCTCCCAACGCAAATGAAGGATTATGCGTAGTCTTGACAAAATAAAATACCTTTGCTTTTTAATATTGAGATTTTTTGGTCTGGCTTTTAACTATTGTAAAACATTTTTGTGTATTTTAACAGAAAACTATCAGCGCTGTTTTCAAAGAAGATGGGTGTTCTTTAAAATCACGAAGAGACCTCTGTGGTTCAAGGAGATGTCATGTCCTGTGGACAGAGAGATGTCAAACATAATTTTAAGGAACTACAGTGGTGCCTTGAGTTGTGAACTTAATTTGTTCCGGGACGATGGTCATAACTCAAGTTGGTCGTAACTCAAAGCACCATTTCCCATAAGAATACACTGAAACATGATTAATCCGTTCTGGCTGTGGGGGGGGGGAGCCATTCCAGCAGGGGCTAAAAATGATACAACTACACACTACAAGCAGTACCAGGCAGTCCAAAGTCTCTCCCCGAACCCACACTCTCTAACCGCTGGGGTGAAGGAGCTACAGAGAAGCAGCCTCTTCACTGCCAATAGTTAACTGAAGGACAAAAGGAGGGAAAGCAGTTCAAATTCTCTAAAAATGATACAACTACACACTACAAGCAGTACCAGGCAGTCCAAAGTCTCTCCCCGAACCCACACTCTCTAACCGCTGGGGTGAAGGAGCTACAGAGAAGCAGCCTCTTCAATGCCAACAGTTAACTGAAGGACAAAAGGAGGGAAAGCAGTTCAAATTCTCTGCTTTTTCCTAAAGGAGGGAAAGCAGTTCAAATTCCCTGCTTTTTCCTGTCATATCTCAAAGCGCCGGTCACAAGTCAAAGCAAAATTTTGGGATCGGAGCTGGTCGTAATTTAAATTGGTCGCAAGTCAAGATGTTCATAAGTCAAGACACCACTGTACACTGTACATGAATGTGATATTCCTTCAGTATGCATCTCCTTTGGGGAGCAATCATGTATGATACTGTAGCTAGATTCAGCAAAATACACTTCAAAAGCAAGATGCAGCATTTCTTCGATAGTTATAGTAACTACTATTATTCAATGTGGTGGACTAAAAAAATCTAGCCTTTTTCTATAAATAGATCCATATCCTCTCGTTTATATTGTGACCTTCTTGTAATGCAACCATATTCCTGTTTTCCCTGTATAAACGTAGCTATATAATTAGCATGCATGATTTCTGGATTACTGTAGTTTCTACAAATGACATCCAAACTGAATACTCCAGCTTTGAAGGCATTTTACTTTGGGGAGTGTTTCTTGCTCAGTTGCTAATTCCAGTTTTACTCATATAGAGCATACTCTTGTTGTCTCTCTTTCAATCTCTTAATGACACACAAATACAAACATTTCTAAATTAAGGGTATGTCCACATCTTCTAATTAAAACAGTATTTGTGGAGGCTGCAGGAGCCACACTACACTTTGTAACTTGTTCTTATGCTCTCTTACGTTTACACAGAAGGGGAAAATAAAGTTAATACTATATTAAACAAATGAAAAAATTTTTATTATAAGTTCTACCAAATATAAGTCCTTAGAAAAGTTCACTTTTTGAACGGCAACAGCCAGAATCGCCCAGACATCATGGTTTGTAGCTTAAGGATTTTGTCAGTAGGCACCTCAAAAAGGTAGCATTCCTAAATTCTGATTAACTAGAAGTCACCTGTTATAGACATCTCAGTCATGTATTACTGGATTACTACTTTCGGGATTATAAGAAAATCATTGTTTCTTGGTTTGCCCAGTGTTTATGACGTCATAATCCCACCCACGCTGCTACCACTTCTGGCAGGGCTCACCATCCCATACAGTGAGGCAGCAGATCTAGAACACCATGAAAAAATGGCAAATCGTTAGCTACTTATTTTGGTACTATATTTTTACTGCCAGGGTAGAGATAAATGTTTGTGGGATTCTTCCTCTCTTGTCCCAAAATAATCTTGCTGGCTTTGCCCACTATCCACCTTGACCAAGGGGGTGGGGGAGGTTGTTATACGTTCAGTCAGCGATATATCCTGACTTAGCCCAGTCTTCCAAGGTTAAAAAAGAACATGTATATAGTCAGATGAAAAATAAACATATATGGCTAATGCACCAATGTGAATAACTAAGCTAACAAGAGATAAACAAATGAAACAAAAATATCAAAAAGTAAGGCACCGGGTTTTATGGGCTGAAGAGTAAACTTCAGGTATTTGGGGGGAATGTATGGAACACCGAGAAGGTAACCACTAGGTGGCTTTGAGAAAACCACCCCTCTCTGTATAGTATACTCTGTTTATGCCAAATAAAACTTGCTGGGCTTAATAGTCCCCAAAAAAAACCTCTTGATCATTCTCCCTGTATAATTTTTGTAAGAACTAAAAATGATACAGCTATTAATTTTAATTACTAAATTAAATGCAGCCTTCTTTGTCCTAACTACCTAAGAATACTACCCTAGGTAACAATGACGAGGGGTGCTTTCACAAGCTCATATAAAATATTATTTTCCTTACATACAATGTGATTTATACTGTTCAATAAAAATAAGGCAATTTCACTGGAGAAAACAAGCTTTTCACTTCATTCTAGACAGTGAGAAGGACACAAATTATCTTCCAGTTCACCTGGAATTCCAGTTTGTAAAAGCTGTTTCTGTGTTGTGCAACTCCCATATGGCACACACAAAGCCTAACAGTAGCTGATACATGCACATGATACTGGATTATTCCATACACCATTCCACAGCAAATTACAAATGCATACCATCCTGCTCAGATCAGAGAACCGAGTCCTAATTTCAATGGCTGGTTTTAGATGAAACTAGGATAGCATCACACATTGGCAAAGAGCCAAGCAGCAGTGTATATGAACCTCACTGAAAGTCTTCTCCTAAAGTCTAGCAAAACTCCATGAATTTTCACCAATACATAAATACAACAAATCACTGAAAGTCTTCTCCTAAAGTCTAGCAAAACTCCATTAATTTTCTCCAATACATACAGTAAATACAACAAATTAAACTTAACTTGTATCAGAGCATTTATCGAAAACTTGGGAAATTTACTTTTCAGGACTACAAGTCCCAGAATGCACAGCCAACACTGTTGTTGGCCATGCTGGCTGTGGATTTTGGGACAAGTAGTCCAAAACAACTAACTTTTTCTAATCCCTGATTTCCCTAATCCAGATTTCAGATTTCACTCACTGTCTTTTCTCAATGTAAGATCCAGCTACAGTTTCACAGATAAATATACTGTAATAATAAATATTATAATAATAGTCTTAGAATTGCAGAACTGGAAAGGGCCCTATGGATCATTGGGTCCAGTCCCTGTCAAGGAGGCGCAGTGAGGAATCAAACTTCCAGCCTCTGTCTCCACCAACAGATGCCTAAATCATTGGGTTATCTAGCAGTTCATTATTATTACTACTACCTGTACAAATTTTGGAAAATTGGAAAGTAAATAATTAGTGTTTAAGACTGCAACTAAAACAGTAACTAATTATACATGGGAAATCAAATGTAAATTTGACTCTTTTTGAAAGCTGTTTTTCAAACTCTTCTCTCACTGGCCAGGGAAGTATGCAAGCTTTTATGATCAGCACTGGCATTATCAGAGAAGCATCTGGATCTTATCTTCATTCCTTTGCAGAAAATAAAAGAATCAGCTGAAATCTAAGGGGATATGATGCGACAACAAAATGTCATAATAAAGCCATGTGTTTCACATCAGACATTTAAATGTCTGAATGCAAAAAAAATTAAAAGAGCATGATCCACATTGAATTTGTTGAGATGAAGCACATGCAAGCTTCCAAAAGCACTAGAAAGGTAAACATCTTAAATACTTTATGCATATATTTCTGATTATATCTCAGATTCTGTTACCATGCATGGGGCCACCTGGCTAACCAGTATCAATCACAAGTACAATCAGCAGTCTGGTTTCTGACACAATGTGACAACCATTCACTTCCAGAGCAGTAACTGAATTAGTCTGTTGCACCAGTGGAGCAAGCAGATTTGTGACACCTGGACCTAATATTTTGTAGGTGAGAACCTTCCTCATCAGATGCATGGGCTGCCCCAGATTGGAAGATATACACATAATGGTGTAGGAGAGTAGTAAGTACAGTACTCATCACACTCTCCTTTTAATGTCTGTTGCTGCTGTTTTAAAACTAACTTTTTGAGAACTGTGTATACAGTTTGGAGCCCTGCACATGGTGGTAAATTATAACTCCCAAAGAAGCCTGTGCACAATTTAAAGTCCTGCAAATTATGGTAGACTACAACTCCCATTAGCCCTATAATGACAATGGATGAGAGAAGCTATAAGTCCTGCAACATTTGATTAACCCATAAGATTTGTTAGACTTGTATGTATTCTCTTTCACAGAGTTATCTGTCTTACTCTGAATAGAAAGGAACACTTCTGGAACATGATAGCATGCACTCCCTCGTTAAATTAGCTGCTGACTTGTACCACTGATGTTGGTATTGATTAACCCATAAGATTTGTTAGACTTGTATGTATTCTCTTTCACAGAGTTATCTGTCTTACTCTGAATAGAAAGGAACACTTCTGGAACATGATAGCATGCACTCCCTCGCTAAATTAGCTTGTACCACTGATGTTGGTCACATCACTGAGTAGACATCAGGCAAACTCGGCTGATGGCAAGGTTGGCTCTGTTTATCTGTCTCTTACATGGCCTGTTAGTGATGGGAAACAGATGTTTCAGGCGAGGGACTATCTGTAAGCTAGGTCTGGCTCACCACCCTCAGCCTGAGAGGGAAATATCTTTGATTAAAGGTGCACAACGGAGTGGTTTTAACTGGGATCTACAGGAGAAAATCAGTAGTCTGTCATTTTCTCTACAATGTCTGTTTTAAAGTAGATTTTGCCTAAGTCTCCATCTGCCTTAACTGATCTGCTTCTTCACTTCAATGAGCTAGTAGTACCTACCATGGCCACACATATGCCTCACATAGGTCCTTAAAATGCAAGTCCTTGTGTGACAGAATCAGGAAAGATGCAAATTACACAGAAGGGCTTGGCTGTCGAACACTACACACATCAACCCTTGAGGCTGCTGATGGACTAAGAGCCACATGGAAAATCTTAGCAGTACATTATCAATTTTTGTGTAACTTCTACCTTTTTCTTCATTGGTTGTAGAACTTCACTGTGAAACAGCATCAACAAAAAGTCAAACAAAATAATAGAGCACTAGGTCTATATGAAGCCAGTGCTGAAGAACAATTTTTCATAAGAATTCCCAACTACTTGTAGTTGCAACATTGGAAGAAGACAATATGCTCAAATATCATGGAACTGCATCAGACAAACCACAATATATGGCAATGCAATATGGTATCTGACTATACATAAACAAAGACTATGATTCCATATTTGAATTCCTCAATGCTGCACTGAAATCTGCAATTCTTAACATGATGGGGGAGAAGAGTCAATTTACGTACTTTAAGATCCAGTAAGAATGTGTTCATTCAGAAAAAGGTTAATTTACAAAATACTTAAAAGAATTACATCAAAGAGTTGTTCAACATACATGCTTATCTGAATTTATGCCACCCTCCAAAAAGCCATACATCTTTAACCTTACATTTTTTTCTAGTATTTTGTTTTCAAGAAGCAATTATCATTTGACAAAAAAATTAGACACACATCATCGCCATCCTTGTTTTCGAACTGGATCTCAATAAACAAAATTTATAGCAGGGAAGATGCTATGAACCTAAATACATGAACCCTGAGGTCATGGGATTTGATATAAATCAAGATCTCTGAAAACAAAAATGTTGATTAGATGTTCTCATTTGAGCACTTGCAAATTTGTCCGGCAAAAAAATGGAGGGGGGGGCAGGATTCTTCCTAACTTGATAAATAGCAAACTTAACAAAGGGCAATGCAATATACAAAAATGGAAGTCAATGTAGCAACTACACAAGTTCTATGCCAACATTTCATCGTGTCCAAAACATAAAATTAAAAGCAATAGTACGTAATTACGTTATCTCTGTGCTTTCTCTGAAATGATATTGCAAAATCTCACCACTTACCTCCTGAAAGCAAGCTGAGTTTCGTGACTACACCAGGGTGATGACTACTTGCATAACAGAAAAGGGGGTGGAGGGGGGAGAAGAAGGTTCAATGCTGTCACAACAAAAGCACACTTTCATCAGGGAACCCAGCCCATAGGTGTTGGATAAACTTTTCAAGCCCTGCCCAAAGACTGCACAAAGCTTACCTATTCCCAGCCACCAAAACTGCAAAGGGCAACTCTTCAACTGTTCCATGAAAAGCCATGATTTTCAAATGTTTACAACACTGCCATGAGCAAATTTGCTCTGGGCTTGAGTTTTGGCAAAATAGGGAATCTTTCTCCACCACCTTCTGTGCTTTTGTTGGCTGCTCTTTGGTGGAAGGAGCTGCAGGGGAAAAAAGTGTTCCCTGTTTGAAGAATTAAAAATAATTAAAAAGCCAGAACCGCACTTCTATAAATATACAGACAGCAGCAGCCAGAATGTTGTTCTGTGCCAGTTACGTTTTTAGGTGTGTTCCTTTTTATTCCAAGGAGGAAAATATAGTGGTGTTTCTCAGGCTTGCAATGATCTTATGATTCACTATATTTATTCAAAGCCACAGAAAGACATCAGTAAAGGGTGGAAGCGCACAAGAAGGAGACTGATATTAATGGTTACACAACTGTGAGGGAAGGGAATATTTCTTAAATGGCTGATAACTATCTCAGCTTCATATGTTTGCCACTCAGATAAACAGAGAACAAAATTAAAAACAAAGACGAATTATAGTAAACTAAGGTGGTGGTTATTATACTGATTTAAAAACCCCTATTTAAATCAGGTCTAGGTTCTTTTCTGGGAGGCAGTGGAAGACAGGAGGGCCTGGCCTGCTCTGGTCCATGAGGTCACGAAGAGCCGGACACGACTTAACAACTAAACAACAAACAACAGGTTCTTTTGAATCACTGTAAACATGGCTGAATACACAATACGTGTGTAAGAGTGGATTAATTTGATGGGGAATCGTGTTTTTTGGAGTGGCAGTGAGGTTTTTTTACTCCTCCACCAGAAGTCTGTTTATTTTAACAGTGATGTAGAACTGATTTATTTAAATTGGTTCCCTATGTGAATGCTTCTGTCTTCCTTAATCAGTCACTTACCCCTGCTGTTGTTGTGTTAAAAGTGTAAGAGTCCCCTGCTGCTTGCTGGGGGGTGGGGGGGAACAGACAAGGCAAGATCAACCCAAAGAGGTGTTTATTCCCCAAGCTGGCACACAAACCCTAGAACCAGTGGCTGAAAGGCAGGCAGGCAAAATAACAACAGTGGGGTCAACACTGGCTCTCTCTACCCTTCTCCAGTCAGTCAGTTTCAGCCCTGTGTCTCCTCTTCCACTCTGGCTCTGCGTGTATGTGTGTGTTTCATTTGCATGCTTGTGTCATGTGTTGGCCACCTGTTATCACCAGGCTCTCCTGTGCGTGTCAGTACTCACAAAGCACATCTGTGCACATGAAGGCTTTTCTAGCATCAGCTTGCTTAGCTATTTCCTACTGCACTGCACTGCCTCGCTCTGGGCACACATACTCAAGATATACACACAAATATCACACCCACCTGCCTTTCCGAATTCCACCCTCTGTGCTTTGTGACATTCCATATGACCCTGACAATATTTGATGGTAGTACCATTCCAGTCCTCCGCTGCCACCAACAAATCTGTGGCATGAATTATCCACTGTACAGTCTCCTGCTTCTGTACATACTTGCCCTTTGCAAGATTGCAACCATATTTCCACAGTCAGTTTCAAACAGGAAATGAAAACAGCACAGTGAAGACCTACTTTTGTATCCTCAAGTTACCCACTATAAAAAGGGAGAACCCTGCTGCCAAAAGTACAGGAACTCTTTTATAAAGTACTGTACAGGCATTCTGCAGTAGTTTCTGGCTTGGCCATTAGGCAGAGTGGGGTGATCACTGCAAAGCATGGCTGTTTCTGCAATACTGGTGATGGGCTACGAGATGGAGAAGAGCATTATAAGGCACCTCCCCACCCATTTCTAATATTGTCTGCTAGAGTGCATTCAGACTAAGAAGCTACTATCAGCTACCAGAAGCAGAATGTCCATGGTTCCCTTGCCAAAACAAGGACATTTCTGCAATAAATTTTATGTGCTAACTTTAATATATGCAAACATCATCACAATTAGACATCACTACTATAATTTAAGTGGAAATACATTACTGCTCACCATATTGCATAAATTTAAGGTAACCACTTTGGGACACACAGCATTAGAACAAAGATAGGATATAAATCATATCAATAAGGCATAGTGTTTAGCAACTCTCTGAAATGCCCTGTGCCTTGTAGCTTACTGAAAATAAATAGAGAGAGAGGCGGGGAAAACACAGATCACTGTAGTTTTGTTGCAATACCTAGCTGGGCAACAATCAGTTATTTCAAAAGAATGGTCTGAATGGTGCTTCCAAAATGTCCACTTGTGAGACTGACCTCACATCTGAGATTAATACAGAGTTAACTCGCCATGCCATGTCCTTTCTGTCCTTCGTCAGTAGTTATATCATTTGCATATTTTCTTACAAAATGGCCACCCAACACACACTGAACCATTTTATTTTTAAAAGAAGAGCTGATTAGATATGTTTACCAAAGCTTCTACTACATACAAAGATGTAACATCACAAATGAGTTCTTCATGATAGCGTAGTCTCAACTTCTGCCCAAGATGTTTTCCAGAGTTTTTTTTCCTTCATCACCACCACCTCTCACCAGCTCTGCAAACTTCAGCCTAATCTGCAAGACTCAAAAGGTAGTTTGTTTTTGATATTTTAATAGTCTATGTGACAGAACTGGGGGGAATCCCATTTTTATATCAATGAGTTGGCCAGTTATCCCCTGTGGCCAGCAATCAATTAAATAATTAATCCACTATGATCATTCTTACAAGACAAAAAGCAGCCTCCGATTCACCAGACCGGCATGCCATTTCAAGGAAAGGAAACTGGCTGCTTGATTCCCCCACTGAAGCAGTTTTGATACACAAAAGATAAGCCTACCATTCTCTATCAGTGTCCTGTCTTTGAAGAACATCTGTAATATTTGATGAGAGGTCTTTCCTTTAAACTAGCCAAACCTTAGTGATACAGGAAGAAGAGGTAAGAGAAGGTGTAAACAGGCTATTTCCAGATAGCCTTTTGTTATGGAAGTTTAAATTCCCATGCACTTGCAGGCACATGGAGAAATCCAGAAAATGAATTTCATTTTTTTATGTTCCCAGCTCTTTACTACTTTCTTCACAGTTGTGAGAGAGTAGACTTGGCCCCAGATTCACTCTTCAGCAATTTCATGTAGGGCTGAGGAAGAGATCTAACCAAAGTCTTGGGAGAAATATT